TCGTTTGTTTGGATATCAGTCCCTGCATAGGGGCAAGTTAGAAGTTCCTCGGAAAAATTTGAAATCTTGCGACGACACCTTGGAGAGCATAAATAGAATCAAAGCTAAGAGAAAAGAATGAAAATACAAGAAAAAAGGAACCTTTGTAAATCTTCCCAGATGATCCTCCCCCAATCTTTTTACCGAGGCGAAATTTATTGCCAACCTGCGTGTCCATGCTCACGGTAATTGGAAGTAAAATACCTCTCTGACGCCAAACCGAAGAGATCAACCTCGACCGATACCTTAAACCAAGAACAAAAGGGACACAATTCAGAGAGACTGACGGCGACGCTAATTACGACGTAAAATAATTTAGACGTATCTACAGACCAACCTGGCGCCAATATTACTCTTTCACTGCGTCGCATCAAACTCTCGCTTATAATCAACGATGAGAGGTGGATATGAACTACGATCGGGAACCGTGAGGGTTCCCGGGAGGGAAGAGGGTAACTGGTAGCAACCCTCGGAGCACAGACGAGAAAAGCTAGGCCGGTGGGAGGTCACGATAGCGGAGGATTAGGTACTCTCTCTCTCTCCGCTTAGGACAAAATATTTTATTATTTTCCTCCTTATCACCCTCATTAAATGACCAAAACGGTCCATAAGTTTCTAATAATTATACAAATACCTGGAAAGACCCCACGGATAAGATCTGTAGGCTTCCAGCGCACTCTGGACCGTATGATCCGACTTACCCCCTGATCGGATTCATCTTTCGGTTTCGCGGGTAGATTGGGGACCATCACCGAGGCCGTCGATACACCGGACCCAACCGTCGTTGATCGGCACACTAATTAATTAGATTCTCTCTCTCTCTCTCTCTCTGAAACCTCCGTGCGGTTAAAGTCGATGGACGGGGATGGCCATCTATCTTTCTGCCTTCTGACGTTGCGGAGGAAGCGTTGGAGGGGATGATGATGCGGGGAAGACGAGCCGATCTCCTCCACTGACGTTATTCAGTCAATAGCGAGGTATTCCGTCCACATTCCCTCCATTAATGAGAGTTCTTCGATTGGTCGGATCTCGTCGGCATTCCACGTAATAATGTTGCGCCGTTCAGTCCACCTGGTGATATGGTTGACACACAACTACTTTCTCGAACGGCGTTTAGGCGAGCTCATCATTTGTGAGTTCTTGCTTGTTTATGGTGACAAATCTGAACGATTCCTTCGGCTGGTGGCACGGCGCGGATGTCTGATCTTCTTTGTTGATTTAGAACTCTTAACTGTTTAGGGATAATGCAGAATGATCAGATCGAGTCGGACACGCATTGATCCAATCTTACACGTTATTGATTGCGTCATAGTTTAGACCAAGCGTGCTCGACAGATAAAGATTGCGGACTAGTCGTACGAGTGGCCGGCCCCCCGTCCCTGGCCTTCTTGATTTTCACACCAAAGAGCGTTCTATTCTTGTTTCTAGCGTGGAATTCGAGCCGAAAACATCAATTCAAGAAAGGTATCCTGATCTTCGTCGAACGGAGGTTGTATCGGTTCATAGATTTTTCTTATTCGCTCCGTTGGCGCCCAAGAAAATACAATGGGGAGTACGGAGATTATTTCCTGGTCCATTGTTCATTCAACAAGATGTGATCCTCAGGAGCCCTCTCATAACTGCCAACACAAGAGGAGCTTTTCAAAGAAAGGTAGTGGATACAGCGCCGTTGGAGATTGACAGCCGAGTTTCCCTCGAGATGCCGACGGAAGACGAGGAAAGAAGGAGGCAACAGCGACAGGAGACTCCCTTTATCGCTCCCTATCTTTCAGACTGGAAGAAGGATTTCCATCCCACAGGCCTTGTACTTTGGCGTGTCACCACTTCAACTTGGCAGGGAAGTACTGCAAGAGAGAACAATCACACAGCCACTTCAGGTTACAGACGAGGGAATGAAAGAATCAGAGGAGCGCCGTTCACAGTCAGTCAATGATTCAATGAGAACCCGCCCACCTTCTCGATGAGGGACAGGTAGTAGGGCTTCACACTCTCGACGTCGATCCTGACCTTGCTCTTGCTGTAGAGATCGTACTTGCTGAAACCACAGAGGCGGCAGTCAGAGGCTAGAGAGCGAAGAAGGGAACTTGGGGAAGAAGGCCGCGTTCAAAGGACCACTGACTTGAAAACGTGCAGCCATTTCAGGTTCTCCTTATCCTCCTCGTTCATCAGAAAGGAGTACGCTCCAGACTTGTGCAAGGCTGAGATTTTTGAATCGTGTTAGCCGGAGGACAAGGGGAGATTATGAACTGGGGTCTGACGAAGTTGATGGAGTGTGGCTCACGGTAGAAGGAGTGGTAGCGGATGATGAACAGCCCAGCCGAAGGAAGGGTCGTCTTGTTCTTCTTCGCAACCTGAGTTTCAGAACGCAGAGCATCGTCAGCCCTGGGCACACTCCAGAAAATGGAGATTCTGCCATTGATCTCCCATTTTTTTGGAGGTGGATACCGACCAAGTACATGTAGTCGTCGTGGCCCCACGACATCATCACGTTGTTGAGCCCGCAGCCCTCGGCGTACACCCCGAGCTTCGTGCTGTACTCCGGGTTGGCGCTGTCTGGATTTTCTTTGAAGTACTGAGGCCAAGATCAGACCAAGAAGCCAGCTCGTCAGGCTATCATGAAGAAGAAGAAGAAGAAGAAGAAGAAGAAGAAGAAGAAGAAGAAGAAGAAGAAGAAGAGGAGGAGGAGGAGGAAGACCTTGTAGTGAACGTTGGATTGGTCGAAGGCGCAGCCGACGGGGAAGGTGTCGCCGACGACGGCCCACTGCGGGAGCTGCCCGAAGGAGGGGTGGAGGAGGACCTTCCCCAGATCTGATTGCAGGAGATGGGTCAGTCGGATAGATGATATGGATGAATTACAGGGCTGGCCATGGATGGATGGTTGAATTCCTCTCTCTCTCTCTCTCTCTCTCTCTAACTGACCGTGGATGAGGCCGGTGAGGTGGAGCCAGTCCTCGTCGGGGTAGTCCTTGCGGATGGCCTCCGCCGTCTGCAGCAGGTGCTCGATCTGGGGCTCGTCCAGGTCCGGGTCGCTCTCGTCCACGAACTCGTTCAGCAGCTCGCAGCACTCCCACACGCTCATCTCTACCCGGTCCAGCTTCCCGTACTCCTCCCTCATCCTCTTCACCTGCCCGACGAGACAGTGCAGTTCAGATCAGATCAGATCAGATCAGGCAAGAAGGAGAGTGGGGGAGAAGGAAAAGAAGAAAGAAGCAAAAGAAAGGGTCTGATGAGTGGTGCCCACAAAGTCGAAGGTCTGGTGAGTGTGGTTCAGCCGGTAGAACTCCTCCACCGATGCCTTCCTTTGCGACTCGCCATTGTAGTCCCTGAATGTCTGCCCGAAGGACTCGCCATGAAATTTAGTAATTTCATCAAAGTATAAGTGTGCTATTTTAGAGGCATAAGAAGTTCTGGAATAAGAAAAAAATGTGCCATCTTAGAGAAACTACCAATAAGAACAAAAATAAAATCATACTTCTTGGGGGTTATTGGTAATCTTAGTACAAAACTCATGCTCACATCCTCGCATGATTGTTTTGGGACATTTAGGGGTTTATATCAACCTCTTGTCTAGATAATTTTGTACAAAATTCATGCTCACGTGCAAGTGTAACATTGTGAGATAAGTTTCGCTACATCTCACCACATCAACAAAAACACTCTTCCATAGTGTCAATAGTTTTGTCATGTATGAAGTGTCATGTAAGCTCACCCACATGTATCTCCCATATTAGAAAATCTCTAGAGGATTGTGATATATATAAACATTGCTTTCTAAAAAAATAACATCTTAAATTATGTTGTCCTTATATTCTCTAAATGGGTGCCCATCATTGATGGCAACAATGATTGCTACACAATCTGGACACATCTAGTAAGCCTCCTTTAGCCTCTCAAAACTTGCAACCTTCAACATAAGGCATTAGACTCATCGATATGGAGGTTATTGGTTGGGCATTGGGTTGTTACATAGTCATACCCATGACACTTAAAACAGTTCACTCTAAAGGTACTCTCTCACGTGGTTGTTCTACTAGTCATTTACCTTTGTCATGTGGTTGTTCTCATGTGGTCTTATTCATGGTAAGAATTTACAAATTTTCATGGTTAGTTTTAGTCTCTTCAATAGCTTGAATCTAGAAATGAGATGATTGTGACTATGAGTTAATACATACAAGGGGGGGGGGGGCATGTGGAAGTTATCTAAGTCTAGGATCAGATAATAAACTTTTATAGTTAATATGTATATATGTTTCTCTTAGCTTAATCTTGATCTCAACTTAATTCTCAATGGGGGGGACATGTGAAAATTATCTAAGTGTAGGACTATATAATAAACTTCTTATAATGTACAAATATCTATAACAAAGTGTTTATTTATCAAATCTTTTCTCACTTCAATTTTGAAGCGAGATATGGTGATAGTGAAATCTTCATCGACTCACAATTAAGTAATAACTTGTTGAGTTACATTACATAGTTAATTGCACGACAATTGTCTTATATAATATTTTATCATTGATCTATGAATCTTATTTTATATTTAATAGATATATATTTCTCTCTTAACTTAATCTTGATCTCAACTTAATTATCTATGGGTTCTTAACCTATACATTCTAAAAGATGATTTGGGTTCTGTCAATAAGTATTAACAAATCTCACTAACTTCGAATTGACAAATCTAATCTTCCTAGCCTCTGACATTTCATACCATCCAAACTTACTATCCATGCCAGCCTCTCACTCTAAATAAACCTTAATTCTAAGAACCCTTAAATGTGAAATCATCAACCCTGGTGTTCTTGTAAGAAGTATTGGAGTTAGGAGGATCATCATTATATCTATTCCTTACATGTTAATTATCTCTATGGAGGTTTCAAGCTCTACATTGTTTGAAGGAAAGAATTGCGTGTTGGCCAAAAGAGATGTCAAGTTATATACTGACTTATATCATGTCCATTCTATTCTAAGTGTTTTAGTTTATCATGTATTAATTTACTCCATTTGGTAACTTCTCCCTCCTCTCTCTCTCTCTCTCTCTCTCTCTCTCTCTCTCTCTCTCTCTCTCTCTCTCTCTCTCTCTCTCTCTCTCTCTTTCTCTCTGTGCTGGGACGCGGTGGTCAATGTGATCGGTGAGGGTCAATGACCTGTCTTGACCAAAGAGCTACCCTTGCTGCTTGTGGGCCTCACTGGTACTAGTCAAGTGGCCGGCCGACATGTGAACTCACGGGGAATCATGGGACCCAAATGGGGAGGCCCACCTACCTTGGTGATTAAACCTCAGTCAACAATCGTGGATTCACATAATGCATGCCATGCCCACCAAAAGATAGATAAGGAGAGAGAGAGAGAGAGAGAGAGAGATAGAGAGAGAGAGAGAGAAACAGCTGCCAAATTCAATACAATCCGATATGAGATTTTTGTCTAGTTAAAAACCATGCAAAGTGGAGAATGCAAACGTGAGTCCACTGTAATTCTAACGCAGCGGGCGATCATGGCCTTTGGAATTGAAAGAGTATAGGATGGTACCAAATTGCAATTTCAGAGAGATGAAAGACTGGTACACTGCTCCAGTGCTAGATGCCGCCACGTAGCTTCTCCATGGATGATCATACTCTTTTTTTTGGACTGCTCGCCCTGAGACATGAGAGATCGGTCGAATTCAATGGTGAAGCAAAGGCATCTCGTAGAAGTTGAAATGAAGCTAATCAAGTGTCGGGAATATGATCCATGAACTCTAGATGAGGATGGTCGGGCGTGGACGAGGCTTAAGTAGATCACTTGTCTCGGAAGTAACTAAAGATCAGATAGAAAATGGCCATGTCAAATCCATTCACAATGTCTGATTTAGAAGGGAAGGCATATGATCGAACTCATTCATGTGTGAATCTTCAAGGACCAAATATATATATATATATATATATATATATATATAGAGAGAGAGAGAGAGAGAGAGAGAGAGAGAGAGAGAAGCTTTAAAATATCTGAAGCTATCACAAGCAGGGAGCAACCAGTGAGCACGAACTAGAATCCAAGAGGAGCATCTTTTTATGAAGAAGGGCAGACTAATATTCATACTTCACGTAGAGAAAAGAGGAATTGAGCTTGGCCAGTAGACTCACCCGGGTGTCCACGGGCATTGGCTATTGGGAGGCGCAACGTATTGTTTGGCTTATGAGTAGGACCCTGTGACAAAGAAAAAAAAGATCGGCATTTTCATGGGCATATAAATATCTGAAATTTCCGAAGATGACGTGAGGATTATACTCAGAGCTCTTGTGACAACCCACTCACCGGTACATGCGCAGGCTCCTTTGAATGTTGAGATTGTTGATACTTCGGTGTCGTCCAATCAAATACGTAGTCAAACTGAAAACCTACGAACGAGGGGACGTCTCCAAGATTAGTGGTGATTACAACTCCGTGACGTAAACGTCACGGCTTGTGTAAGTATAAATATATAGACATTAATCATCTTACGTTCGCGCTTAAAGAGACCATGAAATATTTCTCTCAAGTAAGCATAGTTAGGTTTGTCGTCAAAGCAGAGGGAGCGGCAATAATAGAAATATGATGCAAATTCTATAGGATATCCATGACACAGGGCCTACAAGAGAGATGAACGTAGTGTTATTTAGAAGAAGGGAAGAGAGAGATAAAGAGAGAGAGAGAGAGAGAGAGGATGAATCGTCGTAAGATACCACTCATTTTTATTTTTTTACGATTTTTGGGTAATACCTCAATCGGCATGGAAACCTTCTTTTCACTAATTTTTTCGTATTTTTGCCTTTCAGTGCCTCCTTTCAGGTCTTCCCATGTTAGGCTGAAGAAAGGCAAAGAAAATTAGCAACTAATAAAATAAATACACGCATAAATATTTTGCCGACAGTTGGGGAAGAAAAGATTACCTTCCTCTTAACAAATACATGAGAACATAGCCGAGTGACTCTAGATCATCCCTCCTACCTTGTTCTTATCACCCAAAGAAAGGGCTTTCAATGCTTGCAATTCCCGTGGTAAATTGATCGAATATGGCACATGAAATAAATTAATGTTGGCCACATACCTCTACCACAATGGGCATATCTCCCTGTCCGTTTCAAACTCTTATTCTCTCTATGATGATTTGAAGACACATTAGACATCGCAAATAAGAACTCTCAAGTATGTGCAGAAATAAGAAGGGGGTAGGAAACACTTGCACAAAATATCCAAGAACAAAAGCAAGCTTCTCATTGCGATCAGCTTCAGTTCAAAAATATCTAAGAATTCCAACCAACCAAAGCAAGCAAGCGGCAAATAAATATTTCTTTCATGCAAAATAGACATGAGTGGACGCATCTCCAAAGATTATACATGGAAATCCACAGCAACGTATCAATGATTCTGTCATGCAACATGGTCCTAAAGAAAACCATCCAATTGTGTAGATGTGCAACTATCAATCCACCCCATCCATCTATGGTGATTTCATGTTGGTTTTGTGTTGGAGGCTTTGCATCCCATCGTTACCCTTGTACCGGGCATTTAAGTAAATTTAATATTCCATAGATTAACAACAAAAGTTCAGCGAACAAATCTTATTTATGAATATGAAAACTATCTAGATACCTGTGTGAGATGTGCTGATGTGTATTTGTATCTATAAATTTCTTTCCATGGCCGAAGCCAATTATGTACACCTAAATTGAAGAAATAAAATTGATTAGGCCGCATTATAGGATGATAGTAGCACTCTCAAATAAAATTATAAGAAATTTACTTAAACCCAACCTTATTTGCATGTCTTCCCATGCCCATGAGAAAATTCTTAGGCTTTATATTTCGATGCAGAAGAGATTTACAATGAACATACTCTATCCTCTTGATCTGATAAATATCAAGAAAATAGTATATACAAGAAAAATATGTAAAACTAGAATATCGTGCTTATATTATAATGGTTGAGGAATTTTTTTGAAAAGAATCTACCATTTGGTCAGCGAGCATTAGGACACTCTTCAAAGATAGTTTTCCACCACATTGATTGACAAGATCCTCGAGACTTGGTCCTAATAAGTCCATCACGAGAACATTATAGTCACGTTCAACATCATACCATCTCACGTGCGGAATTCCAGCTACACAATTGAAAAGAAAGTTAATCCCGTGTCGAAAATAAAACAAGATAGATTACACGTAACTTTTGGCAATAATAGTTTATTACTTCCTCCTAAAAGGATTTTGTACAGCTTTAATTCACGTTGTATTTGCGGATGGTCTGTCCTTCTATCTTCCTGGAAAAAGGGGAAGAAGATAAAGACACCATACTTAAAAGCAATTTTTGTAGGAAAACCGCCCACTATACAAAAAATATTAAAAATATGATATAAAGGGGGCAATTAATTATCAGTCAATTTATTGCTAAACACATAGGGGAACTTAAGATTAATATAAATGTGGTATATGATTGAATAATTGTGAAATTGAATTCATTTTGATACACAATAAAATAGAATTCAAATGAGGATGATGCTCTCTCTTTGGTCTATAACCTTTCACTATTGTCTTTAATGTGCTAATTGCATACCATTATTGACGAGTGAAAAGAAGCAAAAATTCATGCGTAAATTCCTCATAAGAATCTATTAATACAAGATAGGAGAACATATTGGCAAAAGGAATTAAAGGTCAATAGAGTAATATCCACTTCTTTGATAAGAAAGAGAAATTATTTTTAAGACGATGGACATAGCCTTTCAAAGATAGAAACTCTACCACATGAAAAAATAAGCTGTACTAATGAAGGAAAATGTACGAATTTGTGGAAAAAATATAAAAAATTCCCAATGTTCCCATAGGTAATTGATAGAAATAAGAACAACGTTTCAAGAAGTCCAAATGTTTGTAATTTGTTGGGCACACTTCTTTGATAGAAATGCATCAACCCTATCTAGTTATTTATATGGAAACTACCAAATAGTTGTCTTCAAATGACAACCACAAAGAACAGACTAGACCTACTTTTTTTGTGTTAATACGAGGCCCACCAAATCTATATTCAAATAATTTCCATCGATCCATGTCGTAGAATTACTAGTCCCTATTTAAACTTTTGTGGTTTCCTATACATGCGACTGTATAGATATTTAGTCTAAGAACCTGAGGAGAGGCTGATGATTCAAATTATGAAAGTTCATCTAGTGTATTGATTTATTTTAAAGCTTCTCAATAGTTTCATGAAACTAAAAAAATCAAACATAGATACCTCCAACAGCAAAAGCATACAAGTTTTAGAATGAAATTGTGACACCAAAGAGGATATTACAATTCAAACTTATTTTATAGAGAAAAAAATAATTTAAGCACAAAACTCAAATGTTGAGTTATGAGTTAAATCAAAATTATTTTGATAATTTATAAATATTAATATAAAATCATTTTATGATATGAAATATAAAGTTAATTCGAGATTGATATCTTGGATGAGATTAAAGAGTATAGATTATTAGTATATATATTGAATGAAATTTTAATAAAAAGACTAAGATGTATAAATATTAAATTGATAACTTAGACAGTAAAAAATATCTCATACAATTTCAAAATTCTCATTAGAGACATAAATGTTAAAATATCTAAGTATAAATACAATAAAATATATGTATGAAGTAAATATTTAGTCTTTTATGTATCATATGACTTCAACAATATAGGCATATGAGTAACTAACAGAAATCTCTTTGAATGAGGAGTCAAATGGAATGAATTTTGGAGAAAATTATTAAGTGATTGATTTATAATTGATTTTAAAATACTACTAAAGTAATATTTTTGCCTAAGGACAAAATAATTTGAAAGTTTAACTTATCTAACTAAAATGATTTTATCTAAGAAAATATATTACAAATTTAGGTTTTCAAGTATTCAATGGAAAGCTTACCAAAAGAGGAATTCAAATCTAAATACTATGCATCAAAATTCATAGTATTAAGAGAGTTATCATTTTTTCAAACCTTATGTCATTTTTGTGTATTTTTCAAGATCCACACATAGTTTGTTAAGGATCACCTAAATCCAAACATTTGGCTTAATTAGGGCCAAAAACTAAAAGGAGACATTTTGTCCAAATTAGATAGTAATAAAAATAAAGGATCTTCAAATGATGATGGATGTTTCAAAAGATGTTCTTCTTTTGCGTCACCTCTTCTCGAGTCTTGAACAATTAAAAGCAAAATTAAGTAGTTTGAAGAGAACTATGGATGTCATTTGGAGTTTAAAACACTTCATCCCATCTTAAGTACCCCAACAATTGTCGGTGCACCGAAAAAACATTTGAAGGCTATGGCAACTTCATTCTAGTGTTTGTTTATTTTTATTTTTGATTTGTAATGTATGTGATGTGTCATTAACATAATCACATGGGTCATTCAAGCTTGTGTGGCATGTCTAGAACAAAAGGATCTATAACTTCTAAGTTGAATGTTCTAGGTATAGAGGTTATAGGGTCACAAAGCCTAGAGATGTAAGCGGTTCTTGATTTCAACAAAATCAATTGTATTCTAATAGTGGAATAGTAAAATCTAAGTGGATTCCTCAAAAGTGGATGTAGGCAAAAAGAGTTTGGTCAAACTATTATAAAATCAGATGTTCAAAAATTCGTCTTGATTATCTCGTAATTATATATTAGTTTATAACTATACTTTAACATTAATATATAAAAATAAAAATATTATATTTAATTAAATAAAATATGAAAAAATTAATTCACCCCATATCCTTTTGATTTATCAAGTCATCTAACAATCAACACAAATCACCATCATTATGGCTCCAACCATAATGATGTCATAATTTGTGGGAAATTTATAGCTCACTAGATGGCTAGATAAATCAAGAGGGAAGGGGGTGAATTGATTTCTATTTTTTTAATAATTAATTATAATATTTTTCATTTTATGATATATAAATATAAGATAAATTAAGAATAATGTGAGCACTGGATTTTTATAGTTGTTTGACCAAATTCATTTGGGCTACATCCACTTTTGAGAAAATCACCTCAATTCTAGTATTCTACTATCATAATACACTTGATTTTATACAGATTAAGAACCCTTCACATCAATAAATTTCATGGGCATGTGATTACCTCACTTATAACTCTGATCTTTGCAGTCCTAGATTTTTTTCATTGCAAGCACACCACAAGTACATCACAACCTATGTGACTACAGTGATAACATACTATGAGTGTTTCAACTTATTCACATATTGCAGATCAAAAAAAAAAAACAAACAAACAACTAAAATGAAGTTACCATAATCTTCAAATTCATTTTGGTACACCATGAGTTGTTGTACTTGATCAATGTTGGGTTGAAGGAAGAAGTATTTGACACTCCAAATGATAGTCACAACACCCTTTAAGTAATTTGATTTTGTATTTGGTTCTTTGAAATTTGAGAGGAGAAATATCTTTGGAAATGGCCTTTGCTATTTAAAAATTATATATTTTCTTATTACCCTATTTGGGTGGAATGTCCCTTCCTAAGTTAAGCTAGAACACTCCCTTTTGGCCCATATTGAGTCAAATAATTGGGCTCTATAAAATATAGAAAAATGATTGTAATTTTTTTTTAAAATAACTCCCTTAATACTTTAAGTTCTGGTATGTTTTTTAGTTTTTAATTCCTCTTTAAATTAGTTTTCTATAATTAGTTGAATTTTCATGTCTATGACAGTACCTAGATATTTTTCTTCAAATTTATTTAATTTGACTCCTCATTCAAAGAACTTTCTATTAGTTACTCATATGCATGTATAAGCAAAGTTATTTGATAAAAAAAAATCAAATATTAGAACTTTCATATAAGATTATGATAGATTTACCTCATATAGACTATTTATTATATTTATATTAAAATATTCTAATATTTCTATCTATGATGAGAATTTGAAATAGTATGAGTTATTTCCCATGGTCTAGAGCATGAGAAATATATGTATTCTAATATTTAATATTTCTATACCTTAGCCTTTAGGTTGAAATTCTCTTGCATATATGTACTCATAATCTAGGCTATTTAATCTCATCCAAAATATCAATTTTTCATCTAAATTTACATTTTATATCATCAATTTCATGATTTTAAATTAATGACTAGAAGTCATCAAAATAATATTGAGTTAGTCCATAACTCAACAAAATCTATAGAGTTCTCACAAAATATACTATATGAAAACAACAATTGTCGAATATGTTAAAGTGTGTCTACTCTCACTTTAACATGGGCATATGATGGAGGTTTACTCAGAATTGAAAACATCTCCACGAAATTGTACAACATATTATTTATTTTGAAAATCAAATGCTGTTCTTTATGACTCCTCAAAAGAAAACAAAAAGGTTTACTAAGTATTGATAAATTAACGGTTTATAAGTTATTGAAGAAGAAAAATAATAAAAACATCAACCACCATCAATCATGCATAGAAAAGCACAAAACCCCACATGTCTAAATAGCTCCAATGTAACATGAAGAAGATAAACTACAACTCGTGATGAAAACTTTAATAGAAAATTATCTCCCATTTAAAGAAGTCAATGTCCTAAAATTTTCACAATAAAAAAATGGGTTAAATACGTCATAATCTTCAATTTACATCTACATCCAAAAATCAAAAGAATAAATAAATAATTGCTTGTTTATTCAGTAAAATATAATCAAAGTTGCAGAATAACGCATGTTGGGACATATTAAGAAAGTTCCAGGATAACGATCCATCCAACAGCAGAAACTTACAAGTTTAATGGCCACTTCTTCGTTTGTTTGGATATCAGTCCCTGCATAGGGGCAAGTTAGAAGTTCCTCGGAAAAATTTGAAATCTTGCGACGACACCTTGGAGAGCATAAATAGAATCAAAGCTAAGAGAAAAGAATGAAAATACAAGAAAAAAGGAACCTTTGTAAATCTTCCCAGATGATCCTCCCCCAATCTTTTTACCGAGGCGAAATTTATTGCCAACCTGCGTGTCCATGCTCACGGTAATTGGAAGTAAAATACCTCTCTGACGCCAAACCGAAGAGATCAACCTCGACCGATACCTTAAACCAAGAACAAAAGGGACACAATTCAGAGAGACTGACGGCGACGCTAATTACGACGTAAAATAATTTAGACGTATCTACAGACCAACCTGGCGCCAATATTACTCTTTCACTGCGTCGCATCAAACTCTCGCTTATAATCAACGATGAGAGGTGGATATGAACTACGATCGGGAACCGTGAGGGTTCCCGGGAGGGAAGAGGGTAACTGGTAGCAACCCTCGGAGCACAGACGAGAAAAGCTAGGCCGGTGGGAGGTCACGATAGCGGAGGATTAGGTACTCTCTCTCTCTCCGCTTAGGACAAAATATTTTATTATTTTCCTCCTTATCACCCTCATTAAATGACCAAAACGGTCCATAAGTTTCTAATAATTATACAAATACCTGGAAAGACCCCACGGATAAGATCTGTAGGCTTCCAGCGCACTCTGGACCGTATGATCCGACTTACCCCCTGATCGGATTCATCTTTCGGTTTCGCGGGTAGATTGGGGACCATCACCGAGGCCGTCGATACACCGGACCCAACCGTCGTTGATCGGCACACTAATTAATTAGATTCTCTCTCTCTCTCTCTCTCTGAAACCTCCGTGCGGTTAAAGTCGATGGACGGGGATGGCCATCTATCTTTCTGCCTTCTGACGTTGCGGAGGAAGCGTTGGAGGGGATGATGATGCGGGGAAGACGAGCCGATCTCCTCCACTGACGTTATTCAGTCAATAGCGAGGTATTCCGTCCACATTCCCTCCATTAATGAGAGTTCTTCGATTGGTCGGATCTCGTCGGCATTCCACGTAATAATGTTGCGCCGTTCAGTCCACCTGGTGATATGGTTGACACACAACTACTTTCTCGAACGGCGTTTAGGCGAGCTCATCATTTGTGAGTTCTTGCTTGTTTATGGTGACAAATCTGAACGATTCCTTCGGCTGGTGGCACGGCGCGGATGTCTGATCTTCTTTGTTGATTTAGAACTCTTAACTGTTTAGGGATAATGCAGAATGATCAGATCGAGTCGGACACGCATTGATCCAATCTTACACGTTATTGATTGCGTCATAGTTTAGACCAAGCGTGCTCGACAGATAAAGATTGCGGACTAGTCGTACGAGTGGCCGGCCCCCCGTCCCTGGCCTTCTTGATTTTCACACCAAAGAGCGTTCTATTCTTGTTTCTAGCGTGGAATTCGAGCCGAAAACATCAATTCAAGAAAGGTATCCTGATCTTCGTCGAACGGAGGTTGTATCGGTTCATAGATTTTTCTTATTCGCTCCGTTGGCGCCCAAGAAAATACAATGGGGAGTACGGAGATTATTTCCTGGTCCATTGTTCATTCAACAAGATGTGATCCTCAGGAGCCCTCTCATAACTGCCAACACAAGAGGAGCTTTTCAAAGAAAGGTAGTGGATACAGCGCCGTTGGAGATTGACAGCCGAGTTTCCCTCGAGATGCCGACGGAAGACGAGGAAAGAAGGAGGCAACAGCGACAGGAGACTCCCTTTATCGCTCCCTATCTTTCAGACTGGAAGAAGGATTTCCATCCCACAGGCCTTGTACTTTGGCGTGTCACCACTTCAACTTGGCAGGGAAGTACTGCAAGAGAGAACAATCACACAGCCACTTCAGGTTACAGACGAGGGAATGAAAGAATCAGAGGAGCGCCGTTCACAGTCAGTCAATGATTCAATGAGAACCCGCCCACCTTCTCGATGAGGGACAGGTAGTAGGGCTTCACACTCTCGACGTCGATCCTGACCTTGCTCTTGCTGTAGAGATCGTACTTGCTGAAACCACAGAGGCGGCAGTCAGAGGCTAGAGAGCGAAGAAGGGAACTTGGGGAAGAAGGCCGCGTTCAAAGGACCACTGACTTGAAAACGTGCAGCCATTTCAGGTTCTCCTTATCCTCCTCGTTCATCAGAAAGGAGTACGCTCCAGACTTGTGCAAGGCTGAGATTTTTGAATCGTGTTAGCCGGAGGACAAGGGGAGATTATGAACTGGGGTCTGACGAAGTTGATGGAGTGTGGCTCACGGTAGAAGGAGTGGTAGCGGATGATGAACAGCCCAGCCGAAGGAAGGGTCGTCTTGTTCTTCTTCGCAACCTGAGTTTCAGAACGCAGAGCATCGTCAGCCCTGGGCACACTCCAGAAAATGGAGATTCTGCCATTGATCTCCCATTTTTTTGGAGGTGGATACCGACCAAGTACATGTAGTCGTCGTGGCCCCACGACATCATCACGTTGTTGAGCCCGCAGCCCTCGGCGTACACCCCGAGCTTCGTGCTGTACTCCGGGTTGGCGCTGTCTGGATTTTCTTTGAAGTACTGAGGCCAAGATCAGACCAAGAAGCCAGCTCGTCAGGCTATCATGAAGAAGAAGAAGAAGAAGAAGAAGAAGAAGAAGAAGAAGAAGAAGAAGAAGAAGAAGAGGAGGAGGAGGAGGAAGACCTTGTAGTGAACGTTGGATTGGTCGAAGGCGCAGCCGACGGGGAAGGTGTCGCCGACGACGGCCCACTGCGGGAGCTGCCCGAAGGAGGGGTGGAGGAGGACCTTCCCCAGATCTGATTGCAGGAGATGGGTCAGTCGGATAGATGATATGGATGAATTACAGGGCTGGCCATGGATGGATGGTTGAATTCCTCTCTCTCTCTCTCTCTCTCTCTCTAACTGACCGTGGATGAGGCCGGTGAGGTGGAGCCAGTCCTCGTCGGGGTAGTCCTTGCGGATGGCCTCCGCCGTCTGCAGCAGGTGCTCGATCTGGGGCTCGTCCAGGTCCGGGTCGCTCTCGTCCACGAACTCGTTCAGCAGCTCGCAGCACTCCCACACGCTCATCTCTACCCGGTCCAGCTTCCCGTACTCCTCCCTCATCCTCTTCACCTGCCCGACGAGACAGTGCAGTTCAGATCAGATCAGATCAGATCAGGCAAGAAGGAGAGTGGGGGAGAAGGAAAAGAAGAAAGAAGCAAAAGAAAGGGTCTGATGAGTGGTGCCCACAAAGTCGAAGGTCTGGTGAGTGTGGTTCAGCCGGTAGAACTCCTCCACCGATGCCTTCCTTTGCGACTCGCCATTGTAGTCCCTGAATGTCTGCCCGAAGGACTCGCCATGAAATTTAGTAATTTCATCAAAGTATAAGTGTGCTATTTTAGAGGCATAAGAAGTTCTGGAATAAGAAAAAAATGTGCCATCTTAGAGAAACTACCAATAAGAACAAAAATAAAATCATACTTCTTGGGGGTTATTGGTAATCTTAGTACAAAACTCATGCTCACATCCTCGCATGATTGTTTTGGGACATTTAGGGGTTTATATCAACCTCTTGTCTAGATAATTTTGTACAAAATTCATGCTCACGTGCAAGTGTAACATTGTGAGATAAGTTTCGCTACATCTCACCACATCAACAAAAACACTCTTCCATAGTGTCAATAGTTTTGTCATGTATGAAGTGTCATGTAAGCTCACCCACATGTATCTCCCATATTAGAAAATCTCTAGAGGATTGTGATATATATAAACATTGCTTTCTAAAAAAATAACATCTTAAATTATGTTGTCCTTATATTCTCTAAATGGGTGCCCATCATTGATGGCAACAATGATTGCTACACAATCTGGACACATCTAGTAAGCCTCCTTTAGCCTCTCAAAACTTGCAACCTTCAACATAAGGCATTAGACTCATCGATATGGAGGTTATTGGTTGGGCATTGGGTTGTTACATAGTCATACCCATGACACTTAAAACAGTTCACTCTAAAGGTACTCTCTCACGTGGTTGTTCTACTAGTCATTTACCTTTGTCATGTGGTTGTTCTCATGTGGTCTTATTCATGGTAAGAATTTACAAATTTTCATGGTTAGTTTTAGTCTCTTCAATAGCTTGAATCTAGAAATGAGATGATTGTGACTATGAGTTAATACATACAAGGGGGGGGGGGGCATGTGGAAGTTATCTAAGTCTAGGATCAGATAATAAACTTTTATAGTTAATATGTATATATGTTTCTCTTAGCTTAATCTTGATCTCAACTTAATTCTCAATGGGGGGGACATGTGAAAATTATCTAAGTGTAGGACTATATAATAAACTTCTTATAATGTACAAATATCTATAACAAAGTGTTTATTTATCAAATCTTTTCTCACTTCAATTTTGAAGCGAGATATGGTGATAGTGAAATCTTCATCGACTCACAATTAAGTAATAACTTGTTGAGTTACATTACATAGTTAATTGCACGACAATTGTCTTATATAATATTTTATCATTGATCTATGAATCTTATTTTATATTTAATAGATATATATTTCTCTCTTAACTTAATCTTGATCTCAACTTAATTATCTATGGGTTCTTAACCTATACATTCTAAAAGATGATTTGGGTTCTGTCAATAAGTATTAACAAATCTCACTAACTTCGAATTGACAAATCTAATCTTCCTAGCCTCTGACATTTCATACCATCCAAACTTACTATCCATGCCAGCCTCTCACTCTAAATAAACCTTAATTCTAAGAACCCTTAAATGTGAAATCATCAACCCTGGTGTTCTTGTAAGAAGTATTGGAGTTAGGAGGATCATCATTATATCTATTCCTTACATGTTAATTATCTCTATGGAGGTTTCAAGCTCTACATTGTTTGAAGGAAAGAATTGCGTGTTGGCCAAAAGAGATGTCAAGTTATATACTGACTTATATCATGTCCATTCTATTCTAAGTGTTTTAGTTTATCATGTATTAATTTACTCCATTTGGTAACTTCTCCCTCCTCTCTCTCTCTCTCTCTCTCTCTCTCTCTCTCTCTCTCTCTCTCTCTCTCTCTCTCTCTCTCTCTCTCTCTCTTTCTCTCTGTGCTGGGACGCGGTGGTCAATGTGATCGGTGAGGGTCAATGACCTGTCTTGACCAAAGAGCTACCCTTGCTGCT